TGCCAAGCCCCGAGACTGATCTCAACATCTTCGGAGATGGACCTTGTATTTTGGGACGAGTTGTACTACTGGTAGATGGATCTGTAAAACAAGCAAAATGAAATTTTACATTTTCATCCCGTACATACAAGTTCATTATAATGTGACAGATACTGACTACTATAGAAACAACTTTATCCAAGCAGGTCTTTTACAAAGATATGTAAAAACAGCAATGTGCTCAAAATTCAGTTATAAAAACATTTGCCTTGTGCAAATAAAAAGACAGCAGTGAATAGTTATACGAATATCAAATAAAATCACCTGGATACACAAATGATTCAGCAAATACAGAGCAGACCACAAATTTACAAGTATTTTGTATTTCTTGATTGATGCAAGTGCAATTGTAACAATATATACCATCACTATGATTTAACTATAAATACTTATATAAGACAACAACCAGAGTCATGTAGCATGTGAGTTTATATATCACAAGATTGACACTAAGTGATATGAACAACTAATTACATATATCCTCATGATTCAATGAAAGGGCATAGAGTAGGTATAACTTTCAACATAACACTGGCCCTGCATGTTTTATAAGGAGGAACTTAGCTATGACAAACTTCAGTCAAATGAGACCCACTGTTTAATATTTGTTGCAACAAAGACAAATTAATCAAGCTTACAGATTTAATATGTAATAGGGAGCCCACTAGCATTCTGCTGTCCAGGTTTATATAGAATGCCTTGGAACAAAAGTACCTCTTCTCTTAACTGAACTACATGTACACTCAAGGAAAAAAGAAATGCAACAGTCAGTTTTGGGAGGTTTTCTTTTTTTTTTTTTTTGGGGGGGGGGGGGGCAGAATAATTTTATTTTTGAGATCCGCCAGTTTTACATGAACCTTACATCCATTTCTAATCCACAAGCCAACTTTTTTGGTGTTTACACATTTTCGAGTCCAATAACGCAAGCAAACAATACAGCATCCCCCACCCCCCAACCAAAAGTGATAGGAATTGCATCATACAGTAGATTTTCAGTAGGGGTAGTAACTACCGTTACTATCTTATTCAACAGAGAATGAAGATGCTTCAAATCTTAAATCTCCTATAACCATTAACAAATCATATTATAATAAATGTTTTAATCATTTTCCTTTTTTCTTTCTTCAAATCATTTTTATCACTCACCCTTTATTTACTATTATTATGTAACATCAGACACAGACAATGTTAACATCACACGATCAGGGCTCATTTAAAGACACATAGCAATATGTTGACTTAATTACCTTCTTCAGCAGGACTGCCTTGTTTCTCAGCTTTCTCATATTTCTTTGCGACCAGATATAGCCCTTTCTTGTTTGTTAGCTTTCTGTAGCATGAAAAGTGGTATCGTGGTTTGGGTTCCAAATCGTTGAATCCTTTGTCTAAATCTGCACAGATCGACTGAACAGCAGCCACTTCCCTGCTGCCAAATTTCCGCCATTGTTTAGCTGCGATTCTAAGGGAGCATTTACATCGAGAAGAGCCAAGGTCCAGTAAAGCCACGACCTAAATATGGCGGGCCTACATGAATCCTGTTGGAGAGACCATTAAAAGATTAGCAGTCTTCCTTTCATGTAGGTCCGCCACATTTAGGTCTCGGCCTTACTAAAACTCTGCTCTTCTCGATGTGAATGCTCCCTAAAAGTTTCCCAGTAAACAATCTCTGAGCAACCTTCTACTGTGTGCATACAAGAAAAAAAAAATGTGAAGTAGGCGAAGATTCCACATCTTCCTCAGAATCTTCATTAGAGTCTGTCATGCTTCTTTATTTACATTGCAACACCTGGTGGGAAGGTCACGCGACCCCCTTTCCATTACTCTAATTGGTTTAAAGGGTCGAACGACAGGGACATTCATTTTGGTATTTCGATAAAATACAATCGCAATTATCAATAAGTTGGCACATCTTTCTTTTTCCGAATTTATTGTGGGCATTCTTTAACTGTTTATCTTTGTACACAGTGAAAAGAGTCTGGCCCTTTAATCCTTTAAACTTTTTAAGGCAATAAAACAATAAACCATCATAGGTGGGCGCCTATTTTCAGAACTTTTGTATATAACACCCTGAGCAATAATAACAAAATATTGCATTAGGAAACATTAAAATCTGTTTCAACAAAAAGCCCAATGGCTGAAGCAACCATTGTGCTCACCTTTGCATATTAATATCATACATCATGATTAATGGTGCATCTAAAGCTATTTGACATGTTCAAATCCTTCACACTAAATAATACTTAAAGCATATCATGGCAACCCCCCCCCTCCCAAAAAAAAAAAAAAAAAAACAATATTTTCAGATTTCTTTCTGTGCTATGTGATAATTAACTCCAGGCATTTGCAACAAATCTCATTAGAATGATTATGCTATTCCATGCACAGCACTAAAACAAATGCATTACTAAGAGACCATTCCCACAGATATTTAGATCGATCTATCCCCCTGGGGAGTCTCACTAGATTGCTGTCAGCTTAAGCCTTAACCATCTTAAATGTCTGTCCTGCCTACTAAAAGCTGTAATTAATTTTTGTGCATGCTAGGCTCCCGGAAGCTGACAGCAATTTAGCGTGAACCCCCCAAGGGAGTTAGGTCGATCCAGATGGATCGATCGAAATCTGTGGGAACCCAGTCTAAGTTATTTGGTTGCCTTTTAATAATGTGTATTAGTACTAGTAGTTTTTTTTTTTTTCTGGCATGTAGGCTCGATGTGAGTTGTAGAGCTGAATTTGGAAGATTTCCAATCTATTCTGATGTTGCAAAACAGACAGACTGAAAGAGTTGCCTTCCAACAGATTGGTCAAGAACATTTATGAACAGGATCAAAAAGAAAAAGAACCCTGTTGGTCTGAATCAATAACAACATTTATGTTGGGGTCTGGGTCATAAAACTGATACACAAATACCAGATAATTTTGAAAACCTAAGAGATGCTATCAACAATAAAATTGAGGAACTAGTTTAGAAAGACCTGGAAAGTGATGACTACAGTAAACTTAGGAAATAAAGATTACTTTAAAAAACTTAGATATAATATACACCCCTGGAAAATCTCTCTTAATTAAAGTCACACCATCAGAAATAAAGATTATTGCAAAAATGCGGATTAGTGACCACAACTTAGAAATTGAACAGGGTCGCTATACTTCTCCTAAAACCCCTACTCAAAATCGTAAGTGTCCTCACTGTAATGAAATTGAAACAGAAATCCACTTTCTACTGAAATGTGAAGAACATAGTGACGGAAGAAGTATACTCATGATACCTCCTGAGCAAAAAACAGATCAGGAAAAACTTCAGTGGCTGCTCAGTCCAAAATGTGAATCATGCTTGAGAGCCTTATATCTGTATATAACTGAAAGTTTGAAAAAACGATACACCCATCAATAGCAATTATATAGTCGTTTTATTCTGTACATGTGCTGCTTCCCAGTAATCATTCCATAAGTACTAGTATTTGTATAGATTTGTATAGCTGTTATAAAGTTGTTATGATTAGAGTAGAGAACCTGTAAAATGTAACTTGTACACATAAAGATTATTATTATTATATATAAGAAACTAGTGATTTATGTGTTACAGGACATAATACTAGCCATGTAACTTTAATATTTTACAGCTTGAAAGGATGATTTTGTTTAGCAAATGATTTTGAGATGATATGGCCCTTCTAATGATCTTAATATCATAGTTTACGTAAAATATAAATCATTTAGAGAAAAAAAACTACTAGTATGCAGCTATAGACCTGTTATTGATACGGACTCGAAAGCACAGTGGGTCCAACCTTTCCTAATGTTTCCTGACATGCAAGTTGACTAAAGGTGTAGAAAGCTGACTTTAGGTGCATTCATACAGGACTTAACTTAAACCTTGCGTCTAGTCAAAAAACTAAAAACAGGTGCTCAATTGCAATAGAATTGCATCCTCTGAATTATCCAAATCTAGCCTTGTGTCATTAAGTGATACCTGAGGCAACTGCCTATCTAAAAAGACACTGTCCCAGTAAAAATGTTTCATTTTCACAGAACACCATTTTAGACACCATTTTTGCCCAAATACTAATATTGGTAAGTCTTTGGGACAGACTGCAAAACTGTCATTTATTCACTAATACCCCATTCACACTAGCACTTTTAACCGCAGTCAAGGCCTGACCTCGGTCCTATCACGGTTAACTTTTTTAATGTGGACAGACGACGTAGCCCTGACCGCGGTCGAAATAAACCCAGATCGGGAGGTGGGTATAATCGGAGTAAACTCCTGACCGGATGACCGGATGTCTACATATAAAGCCCACGCGCACAAGTGTATTGTCATTTGAGCTCCCGTCATGTTTCACAGATTCTAGTAAGAGCGCATGCTGAGATTCTACGGCTACTGATCGCTGCCGGTGTCAGTGTGGACGCGGTTTGGTTGACCGCGGTTTAATCGGAGTAAACTCGACCGCGGTTAACGTTCTAATGTGAATGGCCTATAAGTTTAACTTGATGTAAACACAGCTTAGAGTTAACTAGTGCAACATTTTATTCTGGATGAAGATAAGGACCATTTACTAGTACTGTAAGGCAATATAAATTGGTTTCTTCATGCACAGTTACACAGTACAAGTAGATATGCTGTTCTAGTTAACAATTTGATATAGCAGAGATGAAGGTGGACCTTTTATAAAAATCCAGAAAAATAAAATCAGGTGTGCAGTTATAGGTATGGTAGCTAGGTCATAGAATGTGGTTGGGTGAGGGGTGCATAAATACAACAGCCAAATATCTGGATGAATCTGGATAGTTTGGATGTGCCACATATATATATATATTATTATTAATATTATAAACTCAACATGAACTGTACTTAGATTGGTGTTTATCTTGAATAGTCAATTTAAGATCATAATACCTAGCTTTGAAACTTGAAAGGTGATAAGGAGTCATCCCTATTACTACTTATGTACTCAACTCACCTGAACTGTCTGCCATTGCTTGACTGTTTGACATCAAACAGAATATTAAAGATAGCAGTCACGAACTAAACAGGTAACGGAGTTGCCTGCTCCAAGCTTGCAGAGCTAGAATACTATATCTTTTAAACCCTGAAACAAAATAAAACGGACACATATTTATTTGGCAAGTCAATAAAAATATAAATGAGGAAACAAACTCTGAATTAAGAAATTAACATCAAATATAAATAAATTAATTAATTAACTGATTATAATCAAATATAATTAGTAATTTCAATCTGGAATTGGGCACAACTTTTAGTTATGTACTTCCTAAGCCATATAGCATCAATGGCAACAATAAGGCATTATTCAATACGAAAACTTGCATCAGCTTGACCTTGGATAATGTTTTGTTCGTCCAATGGCTTGACCGTCGCCTATTCCCCCCCCCCCCCCCCCCCCCAAACTCATCTCTCGTCTTTTTCTTGCAGGTGTCCTACGTATCTATGTAAATTCAGCGTATTCTTAAACTCACCGATGTGTTTTTCTTCTCCAAGCAGTCTACATCGACAGCAGTTATTGCGAGTACACAAAGCACGCAGGAGACATGTGGACACTACGGCAGACAGATACTAACAGATTTGACCGTACATGACCTGTCTGCTCCGTCTTTGTCATAGGACTTTCCGCCGCATAGCCTCATTCCTGATGTTTACAATATGGTAACATCGTTATGCTTAGGACGTTCATTTTCTAAACGAGGTTATTGCGTGGAGACGAAATGTGTGAAAGTTCAAGGGATATTTTGTATAGCTATCTTTTTTTCAAACATTACCTCTAATCGTTATGAATTCAGCATCAATATTTGGTACAATCTTAGTTGTTGTTTAACTTGGTGGTAAACTGAAAAAAGTTGCTGCTATCACGAGGACGAGAGCATCATAGGCTACAGTAGGTCAAAATGGCGGATACAGCAAGAGCTCTTCACATCTTCGGAGAAAGAACTACGGGAGAGTCCATACGGACTCAAAATGGTTAGCAAAAATATTCTAGATTAAAAGATAGATATATGTAGTTACTTATTTGTTTGCTAGTGTTACACTGCGTTCTTCTCTTCATACATAATTATACTTGAAACGTTGAGCACGTGCGCGCGACAGCGTGATTTTCACATTTCATGATATTACTGTAGTTACCTGCCAAATAATCAGTAACTGCATTCCCTGAAACTACTGATAATTCGCTGTAATCATGGCGACGATTAAAATTAGTTGCCTGCAAGGTATAAAACTGAAAGCAAGACGTGTATTTTATTTATTGAAGTTGTAGCATTGCGTCCATTTCGACTTTGTTGAGACTCGACCGCGTAACCAAGGCAGAAAGTTTAGTTCTCTGTGTTAGGTATATCAGAAAAATTTTCAAACTGATCAGAAAATTAAAATACTTATATCATCTGAAAGGTAATGCAAAAACCGGATGAAATCATTTGGAATTTTTTAAATATTCCTACAAGCAACAAAGATATTGAAGTTTTTTAACTGCAAAAATCCACCAAAAGTGTCCACACTTCTCAGCTCAAAACCTGTGCCCACTGACCAACAGTGATCACTCAGGCGCAGCAGAGCACCCTGTGTGTCTTTGTGTGCTCAGCCTATTGTCTGGCTCACATAGCCTGTGACTAATCAGGGCAAAGCTATTTCCCTGTGGTAATTTTCACATCATGTAATATTGCGGATTAAATTAACTATACTTCGCAACCTTCAAATTTCATGATTTTTCTACATAATATAGCAAATTTCATAAACTTTGCTGGATATAAATTTCAAAAAGATGATACCAGCACTTACCTGAAATTTTTTAGCATTTTGTAGAGGCAAAACTTAAAACAAGCAGAACCGAAACTTGTCAAAGACTGCAACATGGGAAAATCATGTGACCGGATTTTACTCTTTGATTTACAACTTATTTAGTTAATGGCTTGTATTAGTTTTTTTACGCAGCGCTAAAAGAGAGATTTAAAAAAGGGGTTCCATAGGCGAACTGTCAGCAGGC